CTGCAGTCGCATGTGATAGCCCAGTCGGGGGGGTGTGTGGGGGGGGTGACTCTCACTGTACCATGCATGCATTTACTGCTGGTGAAACAAGAAGAAATACGGTGCAATTAAAAATAGCACCCCTGAGTAAAATTGCACACATTGGGGGGGGGAGTTTAATAGCTGTGAATGTTCGTGGGCCGGGGCTCAGCTCCCAGATGAGCTCTACCAAGTGCATGTTTGTTAAAAAAAACACTTAATATATATATACTCGCGCTGAAATATCTCAGGCTTGGGGGGACTCAGTCACTGCTTAGTTTCTCTTGTCCTTGAGGATGAACCTTTGGGCCACGGTTAGAGCTACAGCAGGTCCGTTCTCTCAAGCTCTCCTGCTCTGTTTTGTTCAGTTGCTTTGTGAACCTGTGCCTGGTGTTATTTAAATGGAAAAGGGATAATACTGGGCAATATTCTAGGCGGTACATCTGTGCCAGATGTGTTGCCTGGTTGTTCTGTCCGCATCGCCGTTTCCCCAGGCTCAGGCAGTGTGACACCTTCTGTGTTTGCTCTGTATTGCTCTGGAGCATCCTGCTGGAAATTCTGACTATCTGGTCTTAATTCATATTGCCCCAAACGTTCTGGCATCCTCTAAAAACATCAGTGGACTGTGAAAACAGACAGATATGTAGCAGCTTGCTTTAGAAGCCGGTTAGGCGATGTTAGTTTGTGGGGTCTGTGCAGAGCGGTAACACGGCGCTGAGTGCCGACGGGTCATGGACAGAATGCTAACATGTGCAGAGAGATGGAGGCTGTTCTGAGTGGCCCGTCACGTGATCGACTCGCCAGGGATGACCGTGCCGCACGCTAACCTGCCCCCCCCCCCACCCACCCTATCGCTCTCCTATTCTCTCCACGTCGGCTTTAGTCATAACTCTGCTGTTATGTAAGCCTGGCGGTAATGGGGGGGGGGTAACAGGCGCCTGCAGGGCCAGGGGCGTGGGGGGGAGGGGAGTGGAGGAGGGGCCAGGGCATGGGGGGGGAGGCGATGGCTGGCAGCCGGACTGCAGGAAGGCGAAGTGAAAACAGACGGTGCCACCATGGTAGCAGATAAGCCAGGCTCCATGCTATTTTTAACAGCGGTGAGAAAGCTTTCTGACTCTCGTGAATGGATGAAGAACGTTGGCGGTGCTTTTGTCCCACCCGACCCGGATCGGTTGGCCTACCAGCCCAGCCACAAGTAAATGGAGCCTCAGGGCCATCATCTGCTCCACGTGTCACTGAAATACCTCTCGTATTTTATTCAAGCCTGTGACCATCTTGTTGGCATCTTGTGGCTGGGACACAATATCAGCACAATGTGGGGGGTGGGTGGTCTGGTGCTGCGATCTCCCAGTGATGAGATCATACAGCCTTCACCTGTCATCGGGTCCTGAGGAGTGCCCCCCCTCATCCGGTGATGTCATCACTAAGGTGTCTTCGCCATGCCTGATTTGATTTCATTAAATCTTTCATTTATTTTATAAAGGTCAGAAGTAGAAATTAACCACCTGAATGTAGTTAATCCTTCATATATCCATGCTGTCCTTTAGTATTAATTAGGCCTGTTAGTGAAAGTAATAGAATTCTTCATGAAATAACTACATTTTGGCTACATAAACAAAACAGACTGTATCTGAATGTCTCATATTGTAACAATGTACAGCGGCAAAGCCGATTTTTCGGTTGCATACCAACTCAAAGTCTGTGTTCATTTTTCCAAATGTCTGATCCCAAAACGCCTTCCCTCAGCGTCTGGCTGAAGCTGGTCTAGTCCTGCATGTATCTGACCAGCAGGTGACATACTCAGCATCCAGACAGTGACCTGACTCATGCACTCAGGAGAGGAGATGCAGCAAAAGTCAGCACGCTCTGTGGCCGGTGAGGACCAGGGATGGCCAATCTGGGGATAAACGGCATTTGTTACATTTAATTTATTTAACAGACACTTTTCTCCAAAGCAATACACATTTATTGTGAGAGCTGGGTCAGACAGTCCTCGCAGTTGCCGGTTAGGGGCCTTGCGCCGGAGCCCAACGGTAAGACCACTCTGCCAATCCACTGAGCCACACAGCGCCCCCCATCCACCACAGGTGCTACCGTGCAAAGACTTGGGGTAAAATAAAACACATTGCCACAGAATCAACTGCGAACAAATGCATGTTCTCCTCTATGTGAGTAGAGTGGCTGGTCCATTGAAACAGTGACGACCCATTTGTCAAAGTTAGGACTTGACGACCCGAGTGTAATTGGACTTACTTTCTCAGTGGAGGGTACGGACCGGAAAGCCCGGTTCTCGAGGCTGGCCGTGCTTAATTCACGTCAACCAGAACAATGCAGCTCCACTGAAGGGCACCCAGCGTGTTATTCACTGAGGTGGGGGTATGGATAGTGTACTGGCCGATTCTCACGCTCGAGGAGGTGGGGGTATGGATAGTGTACTGGCCGATTCTCACGCTCGAGGAGGTGGGGGTATGGATAGTGTACTTGTGATGTAAACAAGAGGGCTGTCTGTTACATGCGCATTGTCCAGGTTGCACTTCATCCCCCTAATGATATGATTTGCTATTTGAATTTTACACTGGTTAGTGTGTTTTTGGAAGTGTAAATCACGGTCACCTGATTGATGCTGGCAGAATCACCTGGGAGTATTTGGACGCGAAACAAGACCTTTGATCTGCCACTTTGGCTCGCTCTTTATTCGCTTTGGACTCCACGTTTTGTCGTTCAACCTGCGATTGTCTGCCGTCACAGAGTCTCTCGGCACGTGGAAGAGGCTCGTCTGGGTTGCCATGACAAACAGGCCCATGACCGCGTTTCCCAAATAAGGGTGAAAGAACAAGAGCGACGGATGAAAAAATATTGGACCTTGAGGATCGGATGCTGGGAGATGGACACATACCTGGCCATTTCTCTCATTTATATCCTTAGAAATGTGTTCCAGCCCTTCAGGGTAATGCCTTCATGTAGCCAACATTGGCTGTGATTTTTCCTTTGTTCACATTCAGAAGTACATCCATCCATCTTCTGTAACCACAGATGCTGTCCCACGCTACAGTGCGCCTGGAGCCAATCCCAGAATGCACTGAGAATACCAGTCCATCACATGACACATTAAAGGTATTCTAGATAGTTCATCGAAGTGCCCAAGTTCTAATATCTCCGTGATTTTGATCTCTGGGAGAAGAAACTCCCACAAACATTATGAAAATATGGAAACGCTACACACAGACTCAGGAGCAGGATGAACACCAAACCTCGGAGATGTGAGGGCAGTGCTTCCAAACCACAGCAGCAGACAGCAGCACGTAAAAATGACATTCAGAGGGCAGTTAAAAGCTGCAGTCCTGAGTCCATGACGGCTACAGGTTGTTCACTGCTGGACACCTCAGTTCCTGACCATTCATTAAAGTAACTGTTGGGACAGCCAGTGCGTCCTCCTGTGTTTGAGACATCAGTCAGATGCAGGGAGGCCTGACTTTTCCACATCAGGATTTATGCTGCCAGTTCAGTCATCTTTAGCTGTGTGTTTCCTGCATTTCTGTGATGAGCATAAAAATATCTCAAGAAGAGAGAATTTCTGCATTCTCATTGAAGGAGATGCTCTATACGTGTAATTAAACATCATCATCACTAATAGTAATGGCTGCCATCTCGCTGCACTTGGCAGGCAGTGGGTCTTGGTTTGATGAGACAGCAGCAGCCATTTTACTGGCTCTGAAAGACTCCATCTCCAGCTCTGACTAATATCTGTGTCACTACACGGTTCTCGCTGTAAAAGCCCGACTCGTCACCACAATGTTACATGGCCTCCATGCCTCAAAGTCTCCGTTCTGCTCAGACGAAGCTCTGTCTTGGTTACTCAGCTGCAGGATAAGGAGGGGGAGGGCAGGCTAAGGGGGAAGGGGAGAATGGGGGCCGACTCTGTAGCAGATTCCGCTTTTCTTTCTCCTGTGGGGACACTGTCTGTTTCTGATGTATCCGTGACACTGAATAATCCTGCTAATTCCTCCCCGTCCAGTTCAGCCTGTCATAGGCAGGAGATCTGTGAAAAGAGTGAACGAGGGGGGGAAATGGCATATCGGGGGGAGGGGGGGTTATAGTTTGTTCTACCTTCTGTGCTTTGCTTAAAAAGTATTAATAATGTGCTGCCTTGAAGATAGAAATGACACAATGATACCAATTCAACATTGTTTTTTATTACCTTGTTCAGCAGTGAGACACAATTGGGGAGAAATTACCAAGTGAGGTCTAGTGAGATGATTGATGGCTCTCAGGAATGGATTACTATTTATAATTTACATAATACTTATAAATTTAGCTGGAGTATTACTACCTTTCCTGATTTATATTCTCACCTGTCAGTATTTGGATTCTATCCAGTGCAATTAGACAACGCCACAACAACTATTAATTTTAAGTAGCCTAACCGGTGACATCACAACGGTGAATGTGTCAGTGGGAAATGTGAAGACCCAGACAGCACACAGCATACAGAACTTTCTAGAATAACCGTCTATTTGGTTGCCAGGATACAACCTAATCGTAACAATAACATTGATAATCCCAGCGCTTTCTTCAGCACCCTAGTACTTTTCATGACCATGAAGGACAAAGAATGAAATCCAGCTGGCTGTTTGTCGGTGGGCCTGGGTTGGCCGCCTTCCTGCTTGGCACTCTTGTGCTATGACAATGCTACTTAGTGTGCCTGGTATTCATGCTCATTTATATGGTTCTAATTTGGTTTCTCCATTTTGCCTGGCTGGAGTTCGCTGCTAGCATGTGACTGTTAGCACTAAAAAGTTGTCTTTGAAAATGCTGCCATGAGCTGAGGAACAAAGAAGTTTTAGGCCAATCCCAGTCCGGGCTTTTTGTGCCTGCTCTTGTTAACAGGATGATTCTTGTCAAAAGTGAGGGCTGTATTAAACATGTCCTCTTTAGATGGATCCTGTGTAATTCACAATCGTTTCCCACCCTCTGTCACACAGGAACCAGACCGTCCTCCACCAGTTCTGTTGCCCTGCTCCTGACGCGCCTGAAGCAGAACCTCCCAGCTCTACCCGGTACGTTCTGTGCCTCCAGGCACCACTCTTATTTCGGATTTGTTTATCTGAGCTCTGTCAGCAGAGGCACGGCCATCTTGTTTTCACGTGGGAATGATTGTAGATATTTAGTGGCCTGTTCCCGATCCTCGGTGGCCTGTTCTGGACCTTTGGTGGCTTGTCTTTGGTGCCGGATCTTCCCTGTCACTGTTTATAACTATAGACTCCTCAGCCTAACCCTAACAAGTCCACAATCATAACTGGACTATGTCCTATTTTCATTGATACAGAAGGCAAGATGAGGTATTATGCTGGTGTAGAAGACTGTAGGTTCCAAAAAAGTGCATCACAGAGCAAAGAAATCGATCTAAATGGCTTGAGTGAATGTCTAGCCCTGTAGTTCTAATACAAAATGCGGATCTGTGTGAGACCTGCCTGCAGTGCGCTGGTCACTGAGAGGCGCTGTGGCCTGTCAGGGTCCTGGTCTGATTCCTGCCGTTGTGTGTGTGCAGTCTGGATGTCCTCCATGTATTTGCACGAGTTTCTACAATGTACTCAGGTTTTCCCACAGTTCAGAAGCAGGTCGTTATGATGAATCGAGCTCTTTCGATGTCTCTGTGTCCTGTGATGTTCTGGAATCCTGCTCCTGGTCCCCAGTGCCTCCTGGGAAAGGCTCCAGGTGTACCGCTGCCCTGCAGCACACAAGCAGCTACGCATACTGCTGCCCTGCAGCCCACAAGCAGCTACAAATGCCACTGCCCTGCAGCACACAAGCAGCTACGCATGGCAGGGAAACACATCTGCTAAACAATGAAATGATAACGGAAGTGAGGGCTGCAGAGAGTGACACAGGGGTGCTGAACGAGAACGATAGTTGTGCATCTGCTCACCACAACAGAGATTCTGCGTGCTGCATAATATGGTGAAGCAGATATTGCAGCCACTCTAAGGCAGCACTGAGCCCTGGATTTGCCGGAGCATGGTCTCATTTTTTAGACACCAGTAAAAGTGTTAAAAAAAACTGCAGTGTGATGTAAGGAGAAGCACTTGTGACAGCAGGGTGACATGGTTGTGTGTTTATCACGTGTAGCACGGCGAGAGGAGCGGTTTGGACGAGTGCTGTCTCTCAGTGGCTGTTTCTCTGCATTGAAATCCAGACTGAACAATCAAACTGTATCCATACAAGTTAACGGGGCCATTATTTGAGCAAGGGATGATTAGTGGTTCCTGAATGAATGGCTTTCGTTGCAGGTGCCTGCAAGCGATTATCTGCTCGCTACTTTTCAATAGCGATGGGAGTATTTTATTAAAGGGTTCAGACCGACCACCTTCTGAAGAGCAAAGAGTAAAACATGAACAAAGGGAACATTAATTATAAACCTGGCAGTGCAGGGCAGAGGGGGAGGGGCCGTCAGTCTGTGCCACGAGACCCGATCAGCTTAGCAAAAGTAACGAATATGATTGGTGTTGCTAAGCATCCGGGCAGTTTATTCCAGAAGGATATTTACATTTCTATGTGCTCCGCATCAGGCGAGATAACCAAGCCAGGACACAAAGCCGGGACGAAGCCCATTGTGACAGCGTCACAGATTAAAAGGCTAGTCGTATGTCTGAGATGGGCAGCTGTCTCAGCTTGTGTTTTGTTCTGCTTTTGATTATTTATAATTTCATATAATTGTAAACTGTTTATCAGAGGCTTAGGGTCTCAGAACAGGACTCTACACTGCACCATGTCTCACTAATGTCGTTTTGCTGCTCTTCCGTCATCTTCCGACCTGACATTCAATCAACAGATGATCATCCACCCTCATGTTCATTCAACTGATCATCTTCAGACCTCACATTCGGTCAGAAGGGCCCCGTTGCTCAGAAGTAATCTGATTAGATTTCGGCTATTGGATTGGATCAAATCTTGAAAATGGGTCGTTCAAAAGAAGAAAAAAAAGGATTCTGAAATTATGAAATGTATTAGGTCACATAATCCAATCTTGGTTTTCATCTGGATCAAATCTTCGATATGTGTTGTTTAAAAACCTTTTGTAGGATTGGGATACCTTTGATTCAAATTTGGGGTATTACCTTTGATCGCAGCAGAAGGTGGATTCAGGGTGGATTTCAGGAACAAAATGTAATAAAAAATTGGTCACATAATACAACATTTGTATCATGTAGTGTATATATATATATATGCAGTATATATCCCCAATCCAAGATGCAGTGCGATCACTGCCATTAACCTGGGAGAGGTTGGTCAGAGAGGGACCAGCAGTTGCAGCAGCAGTATCCACCACTGACAAGACCGTGTCAGGAAAGTCAGACAGAGACAAGAGATCAAGCACAGTCGAGGGAGGCCTGCACCACACCAAGGGGCAAGAAGTTCACCTGAGGTAGAAGATCGTGGTGCCGCTTGCTCTTTGCCTTCTTGGTCCCTAATCTTCTAGATGCAGAATGCAGGCTTTGATGGCACTACTGTCCAAATTACAGGCTCCCACTTGTCTGCAAGCTTGCGCTTGCCTTGAATTCCCCCAGCACTCGATCCCCCGGCAAGAGAGGAACTGCTTTAGCTCCCTTATACTGGTCAGACTATTGCACTTGCTCAGCAGTGCTGTTCTTCTGGGCCAGGAGTTAAGTCACTAGAGACTTAACATAGCTCTTAGTCACACACATTCTTATCATGGAGCACGTTTTTGAACAGGTGGTCAACAAGCAACCTTGGGTCTCTTCCAAACGTCAAGTAGAATATTGGAAAGCCTGTGGTCTTGTGTGCAATGCAATTACAAACAAAGGTCATTTTCCGGATCATTTGCAGCCACTTCTGCTTGGCTTTCGGAGGCAACTATCTTAACATGTTACCCAAGGTGCAGCTGAACCTCTCTGCTTCTCCATTCCCCATAGGATGGTAGGGGGAAGTTCTAGACTTGCACACACCACTCAAATACAGGAGCTCTGGGAATAACTGAAAGTTGGCTCCCTGGTCCAAGTGTTTGGGCTGGTGGAAGCCATAAATACATAAGAAATTATCCCAGAGCTTCCTGGCCATATACTTTGCTGTCTGGTCCTGGCTGAAAAGCATGTGCTGACTTAGTGAAGTGGTCAGTGATAACCAGTACATCTACAGATCGGTTGTTACTATCCACAGCTGTCCAGAAGTTAATGCATACAAGCTCCATGAGGGCAGAGGTCTTTATGCTCTTGGGGGGGGGGGGGCAGGGTGGCCTCGGTTGCCTGGTTTCTCCTGCCTTCGCCTTCGGCCTTGTGGGGGGGGGGGGGGGGGGGGGCTTTCGCTGCAGGCTCTGGTGTCCTGCTGAGTTTGCATCTGCTAGAGTTCCTCACATAAATCCCCTCCCATGTCACATCAGAAAAAGTGTTGGTGTGCCAAGGGGAGTGTCTGGGGCTGACCATCGTAACTATCATGGTCAGGAACACTGGCAAGTATCTGGGATTTAAGGGTGAAATGATGAAATGAAACCTTTTGTCTTTTGTAAGGAGATCCTCAGTGACCCTGTACAGGATTCCATTGAGTAGAGTGAGTCTGTCCCACTTTTTCAGGAATCTTACAGTTAGCGCCTAGAAGATCTGCATTTCCATTCCCGAATCCCACTTGCCCATGGAGGACAGCAAGGAAGAGACATCCTCTGCTGACAAATTGCCACTAGATGACGGGACAGACCATCCAATGACTAGGGCTGACATGAACAGATGTGTCTTGGACATGCATGCATACCCTAACAGCTGATGATACGGCTGAATGCTCCCAGCTGAGGGTGTCAGTCACAGCACTGAATCTTGCTGAGGCATACATCTCAAAGCAATATGGCACAAGAATAGAGATTCATCGTTGTTCACATGTGTCTAGCTTGGGCTTAGTCAGAGTGTATGTAAGGGGATTGTTAATATTCCATACATTGAATTTATGGCCCTTCAACCAAAGGCTGAATTTCTCACACACCACCTACTTCAAAGCCAGAAACTCAAGTCTGATGCAGGGTAGTTAGCATGGCTGCGACTGAGAGACTTCACTTTGCCAGCGGGAACCTGACATAGAACAGCGCCAAGACCACCCAAAGACACATCAGTGGAAAGGATGGATGACCTGTCAAAGTCAGGATGTGCTAACACCATACCGTCCAGGAAGGCTGCGGTTACTCGACCCAGTTCGCACAGTGTTCAGGGGCACAGCCAGGACAGGACAGTCATGGTCAACTGTCGATCATAAGGAACTCTAGTGGTTACTTAACACCATAGCTGCCGCAGGTCGGCTGCAAGGATTATCTAAAACATGCTAATTGCTCTTGGGTTAGTGCTCTGTAACCAGTATTCAGCGTTACCGCTAGGATGATCAGACTCTTTTTGACATTTAAAATATTATTTATATTTATTATTACCTTTTTAATATAAACAATAAAAGAGGTCTGACTTCACAAAAACATGCTGTGCCTTCTTTTCACAGGTTTTAAAATGGCCCATTTTAGCCAACATCACCACACAGAAATGTTTGGGAAGCAAACCCGCATATTTTAAATGTCAAAAACAGTAACCACTAGCCTATTAGGAGCATAAAAAGAACCCTCTTTACAAGAGAGACCAAAAGCTATTTGAATTTTTATTGCATTTAAATTCAAGTCAAACGTAATTACACGGGTCTGGAGAATCAATCCTAGTGCTCCACCTTCTGGTCATTTGAAGGTATTACTCCCTCACAGGCGCATGCCTTTCGTGACTCAGCAAAAGACGCAATGCATTTCGTGACACCACAAAAGCATTGCCTGCACGAAAAGTTTACTTCAGTGAAGAGTTACAAAAGAAACACTAAAGTGGACAGAATTGATTTTGTGATTCCACAGAATGCATTTCGTCCACAAAATGACCGTGTTTCATTCATTACATGTATTTCGTCCACAAAATGACTTTCATTCAGAAAATGCATTTTGTACATAAAATGTATCTTTTTAGTTGACAAAATGCATTTCGTCCACAAAATGACTTTCACTTACAAAATTCATTTAATCCACAAATGACTT